CCCACACCATGCGCCTAGTTTGCCGGGGCCAGCACAGCATGCAGTACTGGGGATCACACCTGAGTTCTTGTGCTTGCCAGGCAGGTGCTTAGACCACTGAGCAATCTCCCAGCCATAGGTGATACCCTAAATAGGTATCAATCACCTGGGTGGCAATTCCCTAAATACCAGGTGTCAGTCACCTGGGTGAAGGACCAGGACCTGCACCCACCCCTTCCAGCAAAGGTCCTGGTTCCTTCCCTGCACACTTTATGGAACCTGCTTCCCCATTGGATCAACATTACCTGAGTGACTACGCTTGTAATCTTACTGGTTGGTCATAGTTTTGTCCCGCCTTATGCCCACCTCCCGATTCCATACCCACTTGGTGAGTTTGCTCTGTGAAGCTTCCTCTGAGAAGCAGGCTCATGGGGAACTCGCTTTCCAGGCCCTCTCTGTCTCTCTTAGGCAGACACTGTCTTCCCCTCAGTAAGTATTTCCTACTCTTCACCTCCATTGTTGCTTAGAATTAATTCTTCAATTTTGGGGAACACAAATTTGGTGTATGAGATGTCTAGCAGGTTGAGAGTTACAATAGTTCCCTCCCATTATTTGGAGATGCTCTACCATCCCTGTATCACTTCTGTCTTTGAAGAACCCAAGTCACACGTTAGTGTTACAGCTTGTGTCTAGATGTCCTCCCAAGGCCTCAATGTACTCATAGGGGTTTCCAGAGGTGGCTGGACCTAGACTGTGTGACTGATTCGCAGTGCAACGCTGGGTCCAGGGTGCTGCAGTAAGGGTGGGCCACTGCTGGGCCAGTGTACTCACTGCAGGGGTACTGTCCTAGCCCCAGCAGACCGGACACAACATCAGGGACAGGAAGAGGCTTGGTGTGCTCTCCCTTGCTGCTTTTACTGTTTTCTGCCACCACCATGAACAGATGCCCTCTGCCATATGCCACCCTGCCTTGGTGCCAGCTGAGTATGGATGGAAACCTCTACAAACTGTGAACTAAATCAACCTTTCCGCCCCTTAACTTCGGGCATTGGGTATTTTGTCTCAGCAACACGAAAAGTAACTACCACACTAGGTATGGCCAGCAGCGACTGAAATACTTCTCCGTGACCAGCGACTGAAATACTTCTCCATGAAGAGCTGGTGCAGTTTGGGCATGTTAACTGTAATAGCCAGACAGAAGTTTAATTTGAATGAATATTTGGTTCTGATACAATCAAGGGTGGAGAGGTGGGCTCTGTAGGTCGGTCCCTATCAGCATTGATGTACCTCCGCACCTGCTCGGCCCACCCACCACACACGTCCTGCTTCTCGCATCTGGTCCAAAACGGTCTCCACGGTTGTGTGAAGTATTTTTGTAAGCGCACATAATTTCTGCAGTACCACCACCCAAGCTGTCAAAGTCACACGTTCCATCTTGTGGACAGACTTTGCCCGAATGACAGGAGATCCAGTGAAAGGCGTGCAGTCCAAGCCATGCTGCTTACTCGCCGAGAACATCAACGCCTCTCAGCATCTTTGAATTATTTGACAAACCTGTAAATTATAGAAAACAGATACTTGTGCCTGTGGTTCTTGTCTGCAGAAATGCAAGTTGCACTTCACAGGAGGAATCAGCGATCACTACCCCGTGAGGGGTCTCACCCATCTTTGCCTCTAGTTGCAAATTCATTCCAAAATTCCTGCCTTCCTGTAGACAGCCTGCTGCTCAGCTCTACCCCTGGAGCAGCTACCGTAGCTCGTACCAGTTCTCACATCAGTTAATGAGTTACGTAAGCTCTTACGCACACCGTCTTTTCCTCTCTTTCAGTCAGGCTTTTGGCTCTTTGAGGAATCCCCCTCTGTAAGATCATCAGTTGGGGATGGATGGTGCTACTCCTCTAGGATCTGCCAAGACGCCATGTTCAATGAGTCCTTAACAGTGAAATTGTGTACATATGCCTGACAGAGAGTCAATTGTTGAAGGTTATTGAAATTGATTTCACACCTTTAAAAAAAATAGCCACAGGCCCTGCAAAAGATGTAAGTCCATAGCACAGCAAGAATTATTTGAATACATCTTTAATTTTAGAAAAATCAATATGCAATCTACAGAATACTTTGTTACATGATTAGTAAGGCTCAATCTGTTTTCTACTCATGTTGGTAGGACATAAAATCATATTTTGAATAAAACATTATGATAGTCATATTAGGGTAGGCCTCCTAACGGAACTTATAAGAAAAAGCACAGCTCCAGAGTAAAGGTAACTGAAATCCTAAAACTGCCCTATAAATGCACAAAGCCAGAAGTCCCAGGCCTTCCTGGTGGAAAGCACCCCTTCTTCATGTCTGTCTTCATGGATGCACTATTGTGATTCCCACAAAACAGCGTTCTCAGGCCTGCTGACCACGTCATGACAGCCCTGAAAGCGCTCACACGATTACCAAGACGGCAGGAAGGGGCCCAGGCCACGTGAGCGGGGCAGTGACTTGTCACAGCCGTCAGCTCCTTGGAAGTCTGCCAGAGTGTCCAGCAAACAGCCAACGCCCAACTGGTCCCATTCATAAAGTGGCCTAGGTGAAGACGCCAGAACGGGCATGGCTCTGCTCCCACTCTTTTCTCTGAGAGGCAGGGGTTTTCTGAACATCACTATTTGCTTTCTGCCAGAGGAGACTCTACTTTTTAATTAGTGAATTTGAATGGACCCTACCTGACTTTCCATTTAGAGAGCTCTAGTCACGCTTGACCTCCTGCCATATCTAAGGTCAGAAAAACTGCATTAAAAAGCTGCTCACCTCCACATAGAATGCTAATTGAACACTAAGTAATGAATATTTAAGGTCCTAATAGATGTGCAAATTGACAATTATGCTGTAGCACCCTGCGATTAATGCTATCAACCTTTGCGTGGTGGCTGAAACTCAGGTTGGGCTTTCATCAGTCTTTTGTTCCCATATTTCCAACACTGGATTCTAGATGTTTCTCAAAGCTGGGTAGCAGGTAACTAACCCCAAAAGGGAGTACCACAGACAACAGCCAGCCTGTGAACCACCAGGGCTGATTACCTGAGCACTTTGCCAGATTTATTTGGAGGAATAAATATTTATTAAGTGAGTTCTTTAGGGGCAGGATGCCGGAGAGCCCACAGAAAGGAATGGCCCAATCTGAACAAGTGATCTGAAGCCAACATTATGCAATACAGCAGCCATTGCTGAATTCCCATTGATTTCTTGGATGAAGGTCTGGATCTTCTCTAACATTTCGGGGGGTTGTTTTTTGACTAGTTCATATTCTTTTTAGATAATAGTAAAAAAGAAAAACCCAGAAAGGAATGGCAGCAAGTACTAGCTAACTTCCCTGGGATTGCAGTACAGTGTCAGGCCTGGTCTATCTCTGTCTTCCTGAGCAGACAGGGGCCAGGCCTGAGTGGGCCCTTGCTGGGTGATAAGAAAAGATGGCAGTCTTTGCAAAAGTCACACACACGCAGGCACACACGCGCACGCGCAGATTGCCCTCCTGTACATCAACGGCGCATCCTCAGCAAATATTATGGACATTGCCTCAAGCGACATCCGAAAGAACACAGCCGTTCATCTTGACCATGACGCCTGCAGTCTGGGCCGCCCGCGGTAGTGACAGAAACAGAAAGCAATAAAAGCTGTCGGCTGACACAGACCTTCACAAGTGTTTTGTTTTCATCTGTTACATGAACAGATTAAAATGAACGTAATGCCATATTAAAACACAGGAAATAAACTCTGTAGGCCAACAAATAAACGTTATTTGGAAGAACACTGCATCAGTTTTGACTCAAAACAAATCTAGTAAATAGAGAAAAATGTCTCCCAAATCATATTTAAGATGCAAGATAAACTGGAAGTGTGTAAATATCTCCTGGAAGAATTTGTTTTTCCCACTGAAAAATACCTAGACTACAGATTTCATACATCTTAAAATTCCAAAAGTCACTGTAAATATTAAAAAGAAACTATAAGCAGAATTGTAACTGCTAATGCTGTTGGTTTTCTACTAGAAATGAAACTGCTACAGTCACTCCCGCTTTGAGGAAATGTTTCCCCTTAGAAATCTAGGTGAAATAATCTAGTGTCTTTTACTTTAGGCATCTTTTAAAGAAAAACACTAAAAATTAAGCAGGATTAGCATAAATTAGCATGGCAGCAGCACCTGCGTGAAATAATCATCGTACGATTCAACTTCCACTCGAGAGGCTTGTGCTAATTACAAATAATACTTTATCAAAATATATTCTTTTTTTTTTTTTCTTTTAGAATATTTTGTTACACAGCTATAATATTCAGTAACTGAACTTAGGAAAAATGGGGTACACCGATGAATGTCCATTCTGTATCTGTGTATTCAAAGTGGTTGGGGTAGATATGTAGTTGCATTGTCTTAATGAATGGAATGATTTGTTCTATTGGTGTTTGTAAATAGGATCACAAGTCCGCATCTTGTACAGCAATTAGCCACTAAGAATAATATATGCAGTGTATTATTTGTTGAAACTGTACTTCCGATTTGATTTGAAACTGTCTCATTGCTATATGTTTATCAATAAAACTGTAGAAAAAAAAATATATATTCTTTTAGTGTACTTTTAGAAAATAATGTTCATGAGCTTTAAAAATTCATCTTTCAGGTCCACAACTATTTTAACTGGTGCCCAACACTCGTACTCCGTTTTCAAAGGCTTCCCACCAGCTAGAAGGCGGCAGGGCCTAGTGACCAGACTGAAAAGGCGCGCACCAGCAGACGGCTCCTTTGCCGCACGCACCAGAATACAGCGACGCGCACCACACGCAGCCAAAAGCGGACAGAACAGAAATAACCCCAAACCACGGACCCTTGCACATCCGCGCTGCTGCTGGGCCTTGCGTCAGCGTCAGACTCCACCTCCCCATGTTTCCAGGGGGAGGAAGAAGGCATATTAACTCCTTCAGTCTAGGTCTCCTTGGGGCTTTTCCATCTGGTACAGTGACAAGAGGTGGGGGTGGAGGGACATGGTACTCAGGATATCCCGACAGCCGGCAGCTGAGCAACCACAATTTCAAGCCCCTTCAGCCAGGCTGGGTACCAGCTCACACACACACAGGCAATGGCGCTGTGAGTTTCAATGGAAAGCACATCCCACAAATTACAGGTTCGTTTAGATCAAACCCACAGGGCAAAACACATGGAAAGTATAAAAGTCAGATGGTTTGGCTTGAGCTTTTCTAAACACAGCCTCTGGACCTGTCCTACCGGCACGGCTCACAAGCCACTGCCCCCCGTTCACAGTCACCCAACTCAGAACTCCTGCGGGTTGCGAGCATTTCGCATCTGGCAGCGGCTCTTGGTGTCTCTTCCTGCTCCTCCTACTGCGTAAGGCAGCCACCAGCTCTGTCGGCATCTTCTCCATCAATTTTAATCCATTTCTTTTCTATTTCAACCTGTTACACAGAAGCAAAGCACAGGCAGCATTAGCAGATGCAGCGCAGCCCCAACACTGTGCCAGCCCTCCCCACGCACGTCCCGGAGCCGCAGCCACTGCTCTTTTCTGGCCAGCAGAGCCCCAGTCCTCCTACCCATGGCCATATCTAACACTAAGTCCAATGGTTTTTGCCATAATTTTTATTATAAAATGCTTCTAAACTAGGAATTCGTTTTAATTTCCTATGATAGAAGATCTGCAGGTCTGGCTAGGCATGATTCGTTATCTGCCCCCAAGTACCATATATCCAGCCCCTGGCCCACCTGAGATTTACAACAAACCCAAAACTATCTAACTAAAGCAAGCTAGTTGCAAACTAGCAACCCAGTGACTCCGCCAGTTCTCATTGTTATCTCAGTTCAAATGACGCTCTACCGGGACCCTCCTGGAGGAGCCTTGGCAGAGACCCCTGTCGCTCTCTACCCTGTTGTCCTACTTCAGCCCCTCTCTAGCAGTTGTCAGTAGTTACAATTGTTCGATCTGTTCACCCACTAACTGCTGGTTTGCTTTCCCCACTAGAAGCTCGGGAAGGACAGGGCCTCACCGCCTCTCGTTGTCCGGGCACCTGGAACCACCCCCCACTGCGACACTGCTCAGCAGACCCGTTACTTGGGAGGCGGCATTCTGCAACGCACTGGGCACAGGTCACTAGCAAAAGCTATTAAGCTAATACTGCTTCCTTATGTAACGTGAGCCGCATACTAAAACTACCCACACCCGGCCTAGCCCCGGATCAGGCCTGCGTCACACACACAGCCCCAGTGCTAGGCCAGGACCCCAGCAGGCAGCCCTGGGACGAAGCTTCGCATGTAGACCACGAGCAGGGCTACTATGGGGGGTTGGAGGCCCCAAGGAGGCAGAGCAGACACGGGAGACGCAGGCTGCAGCACAGCATCTTAATGGCAGCTGCAGACGCCCCAGATGTGGGCCCCCTGGGGTCCTGCCAAGTGAGGCCCAGCAGTACACCCACCCAGCCCTGGGCTCAGGCCGACCAATGAGGGGTGTGACTGCGCAGGGCAGCCACGCAATCCCCGCTGCAGAGGGGTGAGTCCTGTGCAGAAGGAAGGCATGGGGCGCACCTCCCATCATCCGCGTCACCTGGGGAAACGTCCAGACTGCGACATAGAAGGCACCTGACTCTCACTGCACACCACAGGGCCTCCGGCGGGTGCATTTTTCAAAAGACAGAAACAAGTAGGAAATCCGAATGGCACTACTCACGGCCAAGGCTCCAACATGCAGATTCTGAGATGCTGTCAGAAAGCGTGGGCGCTGTTCACACGCGAGACAGCAAGCACAGCCAGGCAGGGTGGTGCGTACTGCAATCCCAGCCACGGCCTGGGAACTTACTTTTCTCTCTTACCACCATTGCTCATAGATATATGGAAAATTTTGCTACATATTTCCCGTGTGGTGATATGTCATTTTTTTTTTTACATGTATTTAGTACAGAGTCTACAGGGTCTCACTACACAGATTAGACTCGTAGTGATCCTCCTATTTTCAGCCTCCCAAGCACTGGGATGACAGGTACGCACCCAGTCTCAGTCACCATTTCAGTGCACCTCAGTGGCGAGGCCAGCACAGCATGCCAGGGATTGAACCCCAGGACATGGTGACATATGTTGCTGGTTTTATTTTTAAAATTGAAATACAATTTATAAGTCACAGAGACTTAAGAGTACATAACAAACAGGTGGATTTAAAGTTTATGTCATGATCCTTCTGCCTCGGCTGGCCCACGTGGCAGAACTGATCTCGAACATTTAAAACTCTTATAATGAGTAGCTCGGCATTTCCCAAAACATGCTCCACAGAACACCATTCCATGACACTGATGTGTGTTTGACACACACATGCACCAGACAAGAGTCCACAGGCAGTGAGTCAGGGGACCTACACTCAGTTTAACAAGTTTTATCCTTGCTGGAGCTCACAAAGTCATTTAATTTATCAATTTACTGTACACTATTTCCCAAGTTATTGTTTCCTTGCACCAGTGTATAAGACACAGCACATTTTGGGAAATTCTCTCTCTCTCTCTCTCTCTCTCTCTCTCTCTCTCTCTCTTCCTCTCTCTCTCTCTGTCTCTCTCATTTTTGAGACAAGGTCTTGCTATGTAGTTCAGGCAAGGGAAATTCTATTCTAGCATGATGATTTTCATTGTCAATATGCTTCTAAGATTACGTTCAAAGCTGGGCTGGAAGTATTCCTCAATATACATCACCAAGTTTTCGCAGTTGAGCCCTTCTCTAGGTGGAAGGTCAGCACATACACAGTCAGTGGAGAAGGCAAAGCAACTATTTAGAGGCACATCCGGGCCTGCCCTGAAGTCCCGGCCTGCCTTGTGGGGCCCGGGGCTGTACCTGGAGGCTGTAACAAGCTCGCCGATGGACATTCTTCTGCGGCTGCACATCGCTTTCCACCCCCAGGGACCGGACCTCCGTCCGCGAGGCCAAGGTGTCTGCCACGGAAAACTGAACCGTCGCAAATGGATGCCAGTCCAGGGGAATCTCCTGGTCAGATCCAAGCTCTAGTTTGTATGACAAACAGTGGGGATGATCAGGACCTTAAGGAAACAAAACCAAACTATTTCAGTGATCACTGGACATTTCTGTTGAACATAAAAGGCACTGGCAATCCCATGAGCGCTCTGGCTGTACTGATCCCATAATTAAAAACACACCATCAAAAGCCACAATCATGCACAAAGTAGAGAAAGTTCCAAATGCAGGCAAGCACTAGCTCTGAAAGAAGTGTAACTTTATTACAATCTACCTGCACACATTAACTCTTTTTTTCTTTTTCTTTCTTTCTTTTTTCTTTTTTTTTTTTTTTTTTTTTTTTTTTTTTTTTTTTTTTTTTTTTTTTTTGTATTTTAGGGAAGGGCCTATAGGATGCTCAGGGTCTCACTACTAGATTGGACTCATAGTGATCCACCTTTGAACAGCTTCCCAAGAGCTGGGATTACAAGCGTGCACCACCACATCCAGTCTCAATTGCCATCTCAGTGCACCCCAGGGGCAGGGCCGACACAGGAGGCCTGGGGATCAAACCCCCAGCCCCTACTCCTGCTTGCAGGCACTTTAATCCACTGAGCTATTTGGCCAACCCTACATTAACTTAAAACTGCATTCAACTGCAAGTATTACTGTTTGTTCTAATTAAAAGACTAACATTTATATGAAACACAATTATTTGGCCACAGTGTGTTTTAGGTGTAGAAACCTCTTTCTCTTAGGTAGACTGAAGAGGCTTATACAAAAATTCTGCATTTATTTCTTTTCTTGCCCCTGTGCTTGTGTATCATACAAAGGTACATTTCTGCTCAAATTAGGTCACAGTATTTAAGAAGCCTGATTTTAAAACTTAAGATACTATTAATTGCAGAAAATATTCCAACTTAAGAACTCTATTTGTCAGTAAAACAGATTGCTTTTCACTACTAAAATTCTCACTTGGTAGTTACATTCTCTTAATGAATAGAGGGATTTGTTCTAATGGTGCTTGTAAATAGGATATCATGTCCGCATCTTGTACAGCAATTAACCACTAGG